ATCTTGGACTTTCCGTTTAAAAGCATACCATGACAAAACACTTAGTCAAAAGTGATATATTCCTGCAGAGAAACCATTACATTTTATATAATTTTGGCCTGATCCAAAATTTTCCCTAATCTGGTTCATTTTCATAAGCTTAATACCATTTATTTTTATCTTATTACATTTTTAATGCTAAGAAAGCTTTTATTTTAACATTCACTAGCATTAATGTTAGTTAAATTTGATAGAATAGCATACTGCTATTATAATAATATTAATATATTAAATTCTTAGCCAGTTTATAACAATTTCATATTTGGATCCATAAAAATATGTAATTATATTATCTATCTCCAAAAGCACATTCTTTCTGAGGAGAAATATTCATTTTCAAAAGTTGTGTTGAAATACAATTAAAAGTCCAAAAGTAACCATTTATAGGGCTGTTTATAATACTGGCCAAAAAGGATATATAATTAAATAGGAAAAATAAACTGACTGCTGCAAGTATTAAATATTATGTTGTTACATTTATAATACATTTATAATTATATTTATAATTGTTACAATTATAATTAAAAATTACATTTATAATTGTTACAATTATAATTAAAAATCCATATTGTATAAAGGATGAAAACCACAAGGAGATATCATTTCATGCCAGTGAGAATGAATTATATCAAAAAGACAAAAAACAAGTGTTTGAAAGGGTATGGAGAAAAAGAAACCCTTGCACATGGTTGGTGGGAATATAAATTGGTGCTGTCGCTATGGAAAGAAGCATGGCAGTTCCTCAAAAAACTAAAAATAGAACTACTATAAGATCCAGCATTTCCACTTCTAGGTTTCTGTGAATTATGAAAACGCTAATTTGAAAGATATATGCACTTCTATGTTCATTGCAGGCCTATTCACAATAACCAAGAGTTGGAAACAACCAAAGTGTCCATCAAGAGATAAACAGATAAAGATGTGGTGTGTGTGTACACACACACACACAAACGCATATATAGATACAATGGGATACTACCTAGCTATAAAAAACAAAAAAAGATGAAATCTTGCCATTTGAGACATGGTTCATGTGAAATGTCAGAAAGACAAACATCTTATGATTTCACTCAGATGTGAAAAATAAACAAAGCAAATGAGCACATAAAATAAAAACAAACCTTAGACTTTTACAAATAGTGGTAACCAGAGGGGAGGTGGTTAGGGGTGAGCAGAATAGGTAGAGGTTTGATTGGATGGTGGTGGATGGTAACTATACCTTTGGTGGTGGGTGTAGTGTGAAATATGTATTTGTTGAGATATAAAGTGTACTCTTGAAATTTATACAGTATTTAAATTCATGTCACCTCAATAATTTTTTTTAAAAGATGAAAAGTTACTGCCTCATACAAGGCCACCAGTTTTTACACCTACATTTCCTTCTGAGAGCTTTGTAGTTTTTAGCTCTTACATTAAGATATTTGATTCATTTTAAATTGTTTTACATATGCTATGAGATATGTCCGACTTTATTTTTTGCATGTGTACTTCCAGTTATTCCAGCACCATTTGCTAAAAAAGACTATTCTTTCCCCCATTAAATAGTCTTGGAACTTGTGTGAAAAGTCAGTTGGTAATGGATGATTTATTTCTGAAATCTAAATTCCATCCCATGGACCTGTATGTCTCCTACTGTTTTGATTACTGTAGCACTGCTATTAACTTTTGAAATTGGGAAGATTCAAGATTGTTTTGGCTATTTGTTCATTGACTTGCTAAAGTTCCTATCCATTTCAGGATCAACTTGTTTATTTCTGAGGGAAAAAAAAAAGATGAATTTTGGTAGGGATTGCATTGAATCTGGCAAGATCAATTTGGGGAGGACTACTATCTTAACAATATTAAGTCTTTCAATCCATGAAATGAAGTATCTTTCCATTTATTTAAGTTATCTTTAATTTCTTATTGTTTTCACTTACTTGGTTTTATCTAGTCCCAGGTATTTTATCTTTTGTTGTTGTATTATAAATGGAATTGTTTTCTTTATCTTCATTCATTAACAGTGTGCATTAACAGTGTAAAGAAATACAACAGATTTTTGTACAGTGATCTTGTATATTGCAATTTTATTACACTAAATAGTCCTAATAGTTTGGGGTAACTTTTATTCCTTCGGTATATTCTCCATGTTACATGCAAACAGACACAGCATAGACAGAACTTTACATCTTTCTTTCCAATCTGAGTTTCTTTTACTCACCAATTGCCTTGGTTAGAATTTCTAGTACAGGGCATCCCTGGTGGCAAGGGATTAAAGACAGCGCTATCAAGCGATCCCCAGCTTCTGCAGCATGAGTTTGATCCCCTGCCAGAGAGATAATCTACATGGCACAGCAGACCTCTCCTGTCTCGCCCACTGCTCCCTTCAGCAGTAATCTGTATTTCAGTAGATCTACCTGTTCTGCTCTCCACTCTGTCTCAGGTGAATCCTTTCATCCCCCGCATCTCTGGCCTATACCCCAGTTCTTGTATGCATAAATAAATCTTTAAAAAAAAAAGAATTTCTAGCACAATGTGAAATAGAAGTGTCAAGAATGTACATTCATACCTTGTTCATGATCATTTAGGGAAAGATTTCAGTTTATTACTAAGTATGTTAGCTTTGGGTTTTTATAAATGTCTTATCAATGAGAAAGTTCCTTTCCATTCCTAGTTTTTGTTATTTTCTTATTATGAGAGAATGTTGGGTTTTACCAAATGGCTTTTCTAAAATCTATTGAGGTTATCACGTAGGTTTTTTTTTTTTTCATTTATTCTGGTAATATGTTGTTGTACAATGATTGACTTTCATGTTAAACTAGCCATGTGTTCCAGCAATAAATCCACTTGCTTATAAGTATATAATTCTTTAATATAAGTATATAATACTTATATTGTACTTTAATATAAGTATATAATTCTTTAATAGGTTGGTGGATTCTGTTAAGTATTTTGCATCAAGTCCATAAGGAATATTGGTCTGTTGCTTTCTTGTGGTACCTTCTCTAGCTTTTTTATACCAATAACAAATATTGGTCATATATAATAATATAGAATATGTTCCTTTCTCTTCTTTATTTCGGAAGAATATAATAAGGATTATTAGTTAAAGATCGTTAGTTCTTTAAACACTTGGTAGAATTCACCAGTAAAGCCAACTAGAGTCCTGGCTTTTGTTGTTGTAGGAGGTCTATTGCTTATTGTCTTAATATTTTTGCAATACGTTTATTCAGATTTTCTATTTCTTTTGAATCAGTTTAGGATAGTTTGTGTTTTTCTAGATATATGTTCAGTCATCTACATTATCTAATTGTTGACGATTGATTATTCATAGTACTGTTATCCTTTTTTATTGTTATAAATTTAATAATTCAAGTTTTTTTCTTTATCAGTCTAGGTAAAGGTAAGTCAATTTTTTATATTTTCAAAGAACCAACTTTTTATCTTTCATATTTCTATTACATACAGTAGGATTATATATTATTTAAACACCCCTCTTTCTCCACGCCATACTAAAGAACACATCCATAACAAAAACTATTGTTCCCAACATAAGCACGAAGCACTTCTGGAAACCTCTTCTTATATCTGTCAGACACTGGTCTGTATGCATTAAATAAGTCAGAACACACATTCTCAAAAATATTGTTCTCAATATACTCTACAAAAAATGATTTTTGAAGCATGCTCCTGACATGCATAGTCAACTACATCTCTAATGCATTACAAAATGTTTAGCACATCCATTCATGAAAACAAGTTAGTTTTCTATTTATTTTCTCTGTATCTGCTGTAGCTTTTATTCTTTCCTTCTTTCAGTTTAGTTCTTCTTTTCCTAGTTTTTTAAGGTATAAAGTTATTTCTTCTTTAATGTAGGCTATAAACTTACCTGTAAGCACAGTTTTAACTGCATCCCAAAAGAATTGAAGTGCTATTTCACACCAAACTTTTATTTATCTCAGTTTTCTTAATTTCTTTTGGGATTTCCTTTACCCCACTGGTTATTTAAAAGTATGTTGTTTAATTCTCACATATTGACACATTTTCAAAATTTTGTTATTGATTTCTAATTACACATCATTATTTGTTGGAGGACATATGTTGTATAATTTCAGTCATCTGAAATTTAATTAGACTTGTACTGTGGCCTAACAAATGGTCTATTTGTTCATTCTCAGAGAATATAATGTGTTCTTGAGGAAAAACATGTTTTACTGTTTGGATAACGTTTTCATAGATATCCATTAGATCTAGCTGGTTCATAGCACTGCCCAAGTTTTCTACTTTCTATTCTTCAGTTCTTTTATCGGTTCTATTACTGTCCACTCTCCTTTCATTTCAGCTTCAAGAACTCCCTTTAACATTCATTTAAGTTCTGGTAATTTTTGCTTCTGTCTCAATTTCTCCTATATTTTCACAGGTAGTTTCACTGGATATAGAATTCTAAGTTAACAGCTTTGGTCTAGCACTTTAAATATGTCACCCAATGCATTTGACTTCAATGGCTTCTGATGAGAAATCAGGTGTTAAACTTAATGAGAATCAGATGTAAACATTATGAGTTACTGCTTTTGCTGCTTTCGAAATTTCCTTAGTTTCTAGTTTTTGATAGTTTGATTGTGATGTGTCTCAATGTATGCTTCTCTGGATTTGTCCTAAGTAGAATTGGTATATATTCCTGAATGTGTATGTGTATAATGTTTTCCATCAAATTTAGAAGTTTCTCACCAAAAAATTTTCATTTGGTTTCTTTTCCCCTCTCCTCCTTCTGAGACTCCATTGTACATATATTGTTGATTATATCCTACATGTCTTTGAGGTTCTGTGCATTTTCTTTCAGTCTTATTTCTCAGACTGAATAATCTCAAATTCATATTCTTCGTTGTGGTGACCATTTAATGTATCTGTCCCATTAGCCTAGTTGTCAGGTAATAATTGGACAAAGATTTCCTTAAATGTCTGTAACCAAATAATAATAATAATAATAATAATAATAATAATACCCATAGTCTTTATTGTTCTACGTAAGTATAGGGTCATGTCATCAACATCAGGCCAGGCAACTTCTCCCTTTACTTCAGCCATCACTGCCTGCTTGCACAAAGCCTCAAAGTCAGTGAGAGGTGAGAGGTTCTTCTGAGAACACGTATTCCTCATGAGCAGGCACACAGCCCTAGACATGTGCCTAGATTTCTAGATCCAAGAATATGTTAGTTTTTTTAAATAGATTTTTGGCCAGAGCTATCATAAAAACACAGGAAACAAAAGGAATTCAAGTCAGAAAAGAAGAAACTGTCACTACTTATAGCTCATATGGAAAATCCAACACTCCACTAAAACATTATTAGAAATAATAGATGAATACAGTAAAGTGGCAGGTTAAAAAGTCACCATACAAAAATCTATAGCCTTTTAATATAAAATAAACAAGAAGAAAAAAATTATGAGAGTAGTACATTTACAATTGCTTCAAAAAGAACTAAATACCTTGGAATTAATCTAAGGTGGCAAATAACCTATTCAAGTAGAACTACAAAATATTATTAAAGGATTTTGAAAGCAACATAAGGAAATAGAAGGATATCCCATGATGACAATCTTGCCTAAAATATTCTATCAACACACCAGCTTTTCAAAGAAATGAAGAATATTGAAATTTATGTGGAATCACAAAAGGCCTTGAATTGAAAAAGCAACCCTGAGAAAAAAGGAGAGACACAGAAGTATCATATTATCTGACTTGAAACTTTACTATAAAGCAACAATACTAAAAACAACATGGTTTTGGCACAAAAATAGATACATGGATCACCCGAATAGAATCGAAAGTACAGAATTAAATCATGTACACTCCAGCGTGATAAAGACTAACAGGACCATACAATGGGGAAAAGACAGTCTGTTTAATTAGTTGTGCTGGAATTACTGGAAAATCACATAAAAGAATTAAGATGGATTACTCACTAAACCCAAACACAAAAATAAACTACAAGTGGATTAAAGGTGTATCTAATATCTCTCTCTCTATCTATCTATCTATCTATCTATCTATCTATCTATCTATCTATCTATCTATCTATCTTTCTATATATATATATAGAGAGAGAGAGAGAAGACAGGTAGATATCTATTATAAAAAGATCTGCAACAATAAAGTATATAGAAGAAAATGTAGATAAATATATTCCATGATATCAGTGCACATACAGTTTTTGGTGACTTGACCCCCATGGCAAGGAAACTAATATCAAAAATAAACAGTTGGGACTAGCTCAAGTTAAAGATTTTATACAACAAAAGAAAATACATGCTAATTAAAAGAGACCCTATTGAATGGGAGAGTTCTATTTACACAATATATAACTGATACAGGATTAATCCATTATCCAAGATATATAAAAAAAACAATTCAACAAAAAAAACCTAAAGAACCAAATTAATAAATGGGCAGTAGATATGAACAGACAATTCACCAAAGAGGTTGCTCAGAAGGCTAATAGAGATGTGAAAAAATGTTCATCAATCATTTCCAATAAGAGATGCAGGGTAAAACCACAATGAGCTGCCATCTCATGCTTGTAAGAATAATACATTAAAAAGACTAACAACAAGGGCCTCCCCGGTGGCGCAGAGGTTGAGCGCTGGGTTGCGAAGCTGCCTGCAGCCTCTGCGGCACAGGTTCGATCCCCGGCTGCTCCCCGGCCACCTGAGGAGGGTCCCACATGGCGTGCGGACCTCTCCTGCCGCCCGCTGCTCCCCTCAGCAGTGTACTTCAGTCCTTCTGCCTGCTCTGTTCCCCGCTCGGGCTCTGGTGAATTCTCTCACCCTCCCGCGCTTCTGACTGTACCCAGTGCATGTATAAACAAAGCAAACAAATAAATAAATTAAAAAAAAAATGCCTCTATTAAAAAAAAATTGAAAAAAAAAAAAAGACTCACAACAAGTGTTGGAAAGAATGCAGAGAGAGGAACTCTACTGCTATTGGTGGGAATGTAAACTACGCAGCCATTATGTAAAACAATCTGATTTACCTTGAAAAACTAAAAATGAAGATACTAGATGATCCAACAATCCCACTCTTCTGCATGTACACAAATAATATGAAACCATCAATACAAAAATCCGTATGTTCCACAATGTTCAAAGCAGCATTATTTACAACAGTTAGCTCATGGAAACAGCTTACACTTCCATTGAAAGATAACTGGATCAAGATTTATTGCATCCACAGTATGGAGTCCTAAGAAAGGATGAAATGTAGCCATTTTCAACAAAATAGAGGGATTTTGAGAGAATTATGTATAGTAAAGCTAGCCAAGATGATAAAAAACAAATACTAGACATTCACATTGCAGACAATTCACTGACATGAGACAGTTTTAAAAACCAGTGGATATCCAACATCATGAGGACTTTCATGAGGTCTTTAAGTTAAAAGAGAAGGGATGGGAAAGGGACAAGGAATATAGGAATAGTTGGGGGGGAGTTTCTGTACAGTGAAAGAAACTATTAGAATGAAAAGACATTGTATGAAATGGGAGAAAATATTTCAAAATCATACATTTGGCAAGGGGCTAAAATCCAAGATCTAAAAGAAGTTACATAACTCAACAAAAAGAAAACAAATAACCCATCAACAAATGGACAGAAGTGCTAAACAGATACTTCACCAAAGAACATACACACAGTCATCAGGCACATGAAAACATATCTAGCATCACTTATCATCAGAAAAATTCAACTCAAAACCATATTGAGGTATCTTATCATACTCGTAAGATGGCCCCATCAAGGGAAAGGAATGGAAAAGTTCAGTCCATCCTCTAAAGGATGCATTATGTAAAGTTATAATTAAGCTATATCAAAACAGTTCAAAATGCAAACTATGAGTATATAGCAAATACATGTTATGCCAAGGTACTAATGCTTATAATCTTTTATGTTACTTAGTTCTCAAGATAATACTGACGCTACATTCTGTTCAGTCTTCCATTGGTCCTATATCGGACCTCCTTTTTTATGAGTATTTTCTTAAAACAAATCAAGGATATGTACAAACACTACAGTCATCACTGTTCTAGAACTAGTTTAATAATTTAAGACTAAAAGTCAAACAGCCTTTTTTCTTAGATAACAAAGCAATTCACTAATAAGGTTGCAATCTTTTTTCACAGTAAGAATTATATAAATTTTAAGCTCTTGATTTTTATCATACTTTATTTTCTACTTTTTACATCATACATATTTACTGAAGGAAAAACCTTTATTGAAAGTTTATACCAAAACAGATTATATGTATTGCACCAACAGAATCACATTGGTATATAAACTGCACACAGATCAAGAGGCATGTTCTATAAATACAAATTTGTTATATAATAATCTACTATAAATATTAACTTAATCTTACTATTTTTCAAAATATTTTAGGCTAGTCAGTTTTGTTCCTTAAGTCTTAGTTTTCTTATTTATAATTTAGTTAGGAACTTAATTCTTTTTTTATATTTACCAGAAATTATGGCATTTTGTTAATAATTTTGTTAAGAACATAAACGCACATCAAATACATTGAGATTTATTTTGTAAAAAAAAAGCAACAGTGGTTTTGAATCTTACTTAGAGGTAAAATTCTAGAGTCAAAACTCAAGTCATTCTTTCAAAGGGGCCTTTGTGGAACAGACATATATACCATCAATTAGAAACTGCTACACTGGCATAGCTTCCTCATGTTAGAATATTATTTCTTTGGTTTGAACACTACATAAAACTTGTAGTTCATTGGTTTAGAGACCACACTGCAGAATAAATAACTACTTTTATATTCTAGACTTCATAAAGCACAGGATTCCTACATTACTAAGATCTATTTGAAATTCTGAACTCCATCTTAAATTGAGTCCATGAAATACAGAGTAAAATCCTCACTTTTCAAATTACTTTTCTTTTTTCCCTTTTAGTTGAGTGTATATTTCTGCTCTTCAGTTTAAGTATATTTGCTCATATTCATAATATGAAAGCAAATGAATTTTTAGGTAAAGAGACATTTATTAGGTTATACTCTCATTAATTTTTAAGTTTGGGCAAATTTTTTATGTATGGTTATATTAGAACTAGTCTTTCAAAAAATATTCCTCAAGCTCATATACCATTTTCTCCATACATTTATATTCCAGAATACAGCAGAGACTGCAGAGCTGCAGAGGCGGCTAACAGAGAGGAGAACACCGATCAGAGAAAACAGATATAAAACAAGAGTAACTCGGGTCAACATGTTAACTTATTTCTACATTATTTTGATTAAATTAAAGAAACTATTGAACTTACCATACATCTTATGATACAATGAAAACTAACCATCAAATTTCAAAATAAAAATTAACAAAGCAAAAAAATAAGAAAACCTTTAGGGATGCAATATTTTGCAAACACATTCAAAGAAGATAATCAGGAGAGAAGAGTTTGCACTTGTTGCGGTGATCGGTGTAGAATGCTCCCTGGATCTTTGTATTCATTGACTGGATTCATCACAGCTGCATACACTTCACCATAGGCTCTGCAGACTAATTCTGTTGACTGTTTTATGATCTGTTCTCTATTGAAAAACAAAATGTGGACGTAGAATCTGAAAACAGAATATTCACTAAAAATTGTAGGAAAGCTCATGCTTAAACCAATGTACTTCATTTTCATATTGCTTTTATCACATATTAAATAAATCACTGTACAAATATTTAAGTTATATATCCTAGTTTGGGGATAAGGCATTTGTATCAACTATTAAATTCTATTTTAGTACATGGGTTTCAAGAGATTAGGCACTATGTTCTGTTCACAACTATAGTCTCTAGGCTAAACAGTGCCTGATATAGTGCCCTGCTTTGATTTGTAAACACAACTGATAATAAAGATACTGCAAATCTCAAAATAATTTACAAGTATTGTCCTTTTGCCGATAGCCCCGACACTAAGAACCACATCTCTTAGATTTCTCATCTCTATATTATTAGGCAAAATAACATGATAATTGCTTATGACAAATCACAAAGTTTTCACAAATAGCATTTCTACATAAGCATGTAAAAGAATAACTGAAGCAATTTAAAAAGAGAAATATATTTGGCAAGAAAAAAATTGCTATGGGTTAATAAATCTGCACCAGTTTTCCATGTTTTCATGACATTTACTTCCCATCATCACTGGTTACTTCTACTTTTCATATATCACTATACCCAATGTTTGGAACACTGAAACTACTTTTTTGGAGTTTTACAATACTTAAACTTGTCTTTTAAGTTTACTCCCAAACCTATTTTTCTTAGGATTCCTATTTCTGCCAATGACATAACCTCCAGGCTCTTCTATTCAATGCATGCTAAATACGTTTCAAAGCATATCTTTTGACACATTGCTCTCTTACTTCGAACCTTCAAGGAACTTCGATGACTTCCTTTAGTTGCAGAGAAGCAAAAATTCTTTAGTGTATCCTTTATAAAATCTTTTATGATATCTTCTATATCACTACTCTAATTCTATCATGGTCATTATCAAAAAAACAAGAAACAATAAATGTTGCAAAGAAAGTGGAGAGAAGGGACTCTTAACTGTTGGTGGGATTGTAAATTGGTATAGCCACTATGAAAAGTGGTATGTAGATTCCTAAATCATGATTTCTACTAAACACATCAGTTATGTGTATATATATATAGGTGGTGTTCCCAAAGTGCCAACATTTCTTGCTATTTGTCTTTTTTATTTGTAGGGCAAATTACAATGAAAGTTCATCCTTTATTTTAAAAAGCATATGCATATATCCATATATCTGTCTGTCTGCCTGTATTTTTAGTGTCTTGGCCCAAATTATTTACTGATATCATGAATGAAATAGTCTTTAATAGTGGTGAATCATTATAGTTAAAAATAATGTTCATGGGGCTCCCCGGTGGCGCAGCGGTTGAGTGCTGGGTTGCAAAGCTGCCCGCAGTCTCTGCAGCACCAGTTTGATTCCCGGCTGCTGGGTGAGGGTCCCGCATGGCGCGCAGACCTCTCCTGCCGCCCGCTGCTCCCCTCAGCAGTGTACCTCGTCACTCTGCCTGTTCTACTCTCCGCTCTGGCTCTGGTGAATTCTCTCACCCTCCTGTGCTTCTGACTGTACCCAGTGCTTGTATAAATAAATAAATAAATCTTTAAAAAAAAATAATGTTCAAAATGGAAAAGTATAGGTATTCTATAACTAAATCCAAAATGACCAACAAATCATTTCAGTCTAGTCATGTGCCTATGAAAACTCAGAATGCCCTTTTTCTTATTCACTGATCACCCTGTGCACAGAGAAAGGGTGGATTCTATTTTTCAGTAGTGTATGTTGAGCATCATTCTAACATGAGTAACCACCTCAGTTCTTACTATATTTTAATCAGTCACAGCCACGTCCATATCTAGTAGAGGTAAAGTATTTTTAGGATTGTTTCTGTAGTTAAAATTCTAAAGGTAAATCATGCTTTTCACATGACCAAATAATATGTAGAAAGGCAAGTTAAAAGGGAAAAAAGTAAAAGTAAATGTGAAGTAAATATAGGTGAGCTATGATCACCTATAAAATTAGTTCATTAATTTTCTTGGTATCTTTACCACCATGACAATTTCATAGGTAGGAACTGATTAGGTGTTATCATATTGGCCTTTGACAGTTTAATAATCTTTCCAGTGGAAGTATAACTTTCAAAAAATTTAAAACATGAATATAAATCAAGAATTTTACAGATTTAATATCTCATTAATGAGGAAACTACTAACATGATAAAGCTGGTTCACAGAACATTTGAAGGAATTGGTCACTAATAGGCATTTGAAAATGGTTTAAATAAAACAGGCTATTTATAAAGTGGGTTCATGTCTCTAGGAGCAAGAAAACCATAGTAGCTGAAAAACAATGGGACTTTAAATCAATGGTAAACAGAGACTCAAATAATGGTGCACACCCCTAAGTAATTAGATAATTCTTGATGGGCCTGTTAACAGTGCTTCACTGAGGCACATGACACTGAAAGAACATGCTGTTCTTCTCCAGACCTTATTTGTCTTATTTTTAAGTTTTGGAAAAACTTTCCATTTAGTAAGTAGTTTTCTATACTAGTTATCATAAATCAAAAAATAATGACCATGTAGCTTACTCTAATAAAAAAGAAAAAAATTGGAGGAGGAAAAGGTGAGCTTGTTATAAAATTTTATAGAAGGGGAATATGTTCAGTTACATACACATCAGAATACATTGAGGAATTTAAATTGTTCAGTTATAAATGTTGCAATGCCATAAACTCTTAGTATTATAAATTTGAAATATAATAATAAAGGGTAACATATTACTACACACAAATATTCTTATTTTAAAATGAAATTAAGTATACTTTTAAAGCACTGAGAAGCACTGCTTACATCCAGAATCAGTCAGCTTGTCATTAATCAGTACTTTAGGGTTTTGGTTGCCATAGCAGCATGATACAACTCTTATCATTACCATAAACCTGGCATTTCTAAAAATAGTTTATTTCAACGTTAAAGTTCGGTGATCACTAAAATTGAGCTTTATTACAGAACCACAGTTTATAGTGCAATCAAATGTGCCATAGAAGAAATGTAGACATTAAAAATCTAAATCTGAAATATTAAAAAATAAATATTTATGAACAATAGATTAGTTAACAAAGGTCCATTCTGATTCTTCTTTATCACATTATAAACATCCAGAATGTCACAATGGGTCAAATCAATGTTTGATGCAAGGTCAGCTTTGCTGTCACTTACAGTAAAATTAAAGCACATTTTTACATGAGATCAAGGCAGATGTCTCATGAAACCAAGGCACACATCTCACATGTGTAATCTAACACATATGCCAGACATTTTGAACTTCCTTTAAGAATAATAAAATACAATTTCAACATAAGAAGGATTAATAGAAATGTAGTACAAGCTAGTGTTAGAGAATAGAATCTGGAATCCTAAATACAGAATTCAAATCTTGGTTCTGCTTTTTACTAATTGTTCGACCACAATTCAATTATTTAACCTTTGTAAAGGAAGCCATCTTTTGCAAAATGGAGATCCTAATTTATAGACTCATTGAGAGGATTATGTAATCCATTTAGGATCACTCTGGTAAGGTGTTCAAATTAGATTATAGAAGTTGGGGTGGAGATGTCAAGAGTGAACACAGGGAATGTTTCAGAAATTTATGAGATAATCCAGGTACAGATGATACTAACATAGACTCGGGTGTTAACTGTGGAGATATGAAAAGTGACCAGAGTCTCCTCTCACATACTTCTTTCTAAATAGATATTGAACAAAAAGGGTTCCATGGGAATTTTGATTATACTCATGTTGACTTACAGATTACTACACTATATAACCAAATAGAATGCCATGTAACTACACTGAAATACTGAAAATCTACAAGATATGTCACACTTAATGATAAAACATCAGAAACAATGTCATTAAGTTCAAAATAAGATATACACATTCTCTACTACATCTACTATTTAGTTTGGGGCTCTTGGCCAATGTAAATGTTATAAACATGGAAAATAATTAATATGGTCATTAATTTTAGATGTTCATATCAAAACAACACATGGCAGTTGATAAATAGAACTAAAATAGAGTTACTTGGTCAAATTCAAAATTAACATGCAAAATTTAGTACCTTTCCTATAGACCAACAATATCTAAACAGTACATGGAAAACACAAAATTGTTTCCTAGGGATAAAGACAATAATATATATGGAAAATTATATGAAGTAATGATAAAACTTTATTGAAAATTCTAAAAGAGCTGAATAAATAGGTGTAATATGTTCATGGATGGGGATATTCATGATTGGATTATGCTTTATTTCCTATTTTGCTCATTCTTACATAGTTTGATGAATGTTTTTTATTAACTAGAAAGCAATGTTGTTTTTGTAAGTCGGGTAAAGTATGCTATATTAGATGAAACTGTATGGTGGCATTTTTTAAGTCATTTATGCCATACCAGTTTTCCATTAATTATTGAGAGAGGAGTGTTGAAATATGTAACTATTGCTGTTAATGTATTTATTCCATCTCAGTTCTATTCCTTTACTTCATGGTTTTTGAAGCTCTGCTATTAGACACATAGTTACCATTGTATCTTTATAAATTGATCCTATTATTACTGAGAAATGTCCTGCTTTACTTTTGGTATTATCTGTCCTGCAGTCTACCTCTTTTCCTAATATTAATATAGCTATTTCAATTTTATTAGTAGTATTTGCATGGTATATATTTTACCTTATTTTCAAAAAAGATTTATTTATTTATTTATTTATACAAGCAAATAAATAATAAATTTATTTATTTATTTATACAATCAGAAGCGCGGGAGGGTGAGAGAATTCACCAGAGCCAGAGCGGGGAGCAGAGCAGGCAGAAGGACCTAAGTACACTGCTGAGGGGAGCAGCGGGCGTCAGGCCCTATTTTACCATTCTTTTACTTTCAAATTATTTGTATCTTTCTATTTAAAGTGGATCATGTTTTTCATCCAATCTAACAAACTCTGCCTTTTTTATTGATTAAAATTTTTAATTTTCTTACTTTGTTGTTCATTTTTGTACAATATTTGATTTTTCTCCTCAGGCATAGTTCCCACAAATCTCCCATTACCACATCACCCATGAACCATCACCATAGTCCCTTGTGCATTTCCCTCCCTTGTTTTGATACCTCTTGCTCTCCTTCGCGTGCTGCAGGCCTAGGATCCACAGTTTGCTGCAATAAATTCTGCTTTTTAATCTATATTCCCTTCTTAATTATTCATGGAAATAATACTGCTTCAACAAGAAAAAACACTGAGAATATCTTACATATGCAAAAATTGTGGTTTCTGTAGTCCAATTTGATTTTTATACCATTAAAAGGTGAATAATGGAATTTGGCATTGAAAAAAGAAAACCACCTTCCTAATTCATCCCAAGGAAGGAAAGAAGAATTCTTCAATAAATAATTTTTATTTCTATTCTTTCCTTCATTTTCTATATAACTGTTTCCTGGGAACTTAACTGTATTTCAATTGTTTATTCCAAGGGTGAAGAGCTCAATCAAATATTCTTTTGAAAGAAATGATTTTTTTAAAAAAGGGAGACAGATTGATAGTGTCCCAGAGGTACTGCAATCATAAAGACAAGCATTGTCAAGAGCAGAGAATATTAACAAAATGAGAAGGGATTTAAAAAATAATGCTTTATATTTCAAGGATTTATATCAACCAATCAATCTGAAATTTTAAATAAAATATGAATAGACAGAAATCAGGGGTGTAAAGATACAAAATGATGTTAAAAATGAATTACCATTCTGAAAAGAGCCATAATTTAACTGAGTAAAGTTACTACTATTTCAAACACTTTATAAATAAGATCAAATATATATTGTCCTTGTGTAGTAGAAAAAAGGATAAAATTTATTTTTGAAAATAAGGAAATGTCAATGATATAAAAGGAAAAAAAGCAGTTAAAAATCTTTAAAATTCAATCTTAAACGTGTAAAATACTCTATATTTTTTCAAGACAACCTTGACTTTAGAAATGTTCTGAAAGAAAAAAATGAGCTGTTAAAAAAAAACTAAGCAATTTCTAATTCTCACTTGTACTATTTTTATCTATATAAACCATATGCATATCTCAACTTTTAAAGATTATACTTAGTAAGAATAAGAATTTATTACAAGATACATAAATGTTTGCATAATAAACCAAAATTTTAAATTTTTTTTTTTTTTTTTTGTGAGACCCTCCCCCGTGGCTGGGGATCGAATTGGTGCTGCAGAGGCTGTGGGCAGCCTCGCAACCCAGCACTCAACCGCTGCACCACCAGGGGAGGCCCAATATTAATTTTTAAATTAGATTTTTAAATAATATACCAACTTTTATCCACTTGACCTTTGTTAATAAAATAAAATTTACATTGTTACTATTAAACAACTGGGTGATATAAATAAATGAAAAGCTAAAATATTTCTTCAGTAACAGAAGACATTTGATTTGAAATATATTTAAGCTCTAGAAAATCTGAGAAGTCCTTAGAGATTAAAAATCCATACAGATCCCTAAAAAAACGTTCAACTTCACTGCTTGTTGAACATTTTTATAACTCTTACTAAAATTAACTCTTACTAAAATTCCTGAACCTAAATATGTATACTTTGGAAATTTGAATGTGTTGTCAAATTGCCTTCTAAAAAGTTTGTAGCAATTTAAACTTTCACTAAGTATGAAAATGTCCATTTTTTATATACTTCCTAATAACATATACTAACAAACTTTTTATTGTCAATAATGTGATAGGAATAAATTCTCACTATTGTTTTAATTTACATTTTTGATAATTATTATCTTCTTATATACTTACACATCATTTACATTTATTCTGTGAACTGTCCAAAGGTGCCTGTTTTTCTACTGGTTTGTACTGATTTGTAGGTTTGTGTACTATATTAAAGATAATAAGTATTATTTTTCTATCATTAAATTGTGTCTTTACACTTTATTATATTTTTTCTCAATTTATATTGTCTTTTTCTGTATAAAAACCCAATATATTATATATCTAAATCTGTCATTTTTTTTTCCTCTATGGCATCTGGGCTATATGCAATAAAACTTTAATTTTTTAAGACTACAAAATTTAAAACATATTAAAATTTCCCTTCAATCATTATGAAAATAATAGTAATGTTCCAAACAACAGAACATTAAAATACTAAACATTGAAATATGGTTAATTCTAAAAGTATTACATATTTGGCTGAAAAATTAAATGATTTAAGAAATGTACACAAATAATTTGAGCCATGGTGTAGTCGAGCTTCTATGAAAACTTCTCAGGTCTTTAGAATTCTGGCTATCTACAATAGATAGTATGACAGCTCCTAGAATAATATAACTCTAATTAAGAGGAAAATTGATCTGTCTCACTTCCAGTCAATTCTAATTGACAGCAAATTCTTTCACACATTTAATCAAAAGCTGCCTTCCTTGTCATATATATTGCTGTAGGCCTACCCTCCAGATAAGAAAACAAGCAAATCACTTCTGCACCACTATACCCTTTCAGATATTTAAAGCATTATCTTCTAAATTCAACAGTTCTTTCCTTAATGTACTTTTATAAAAAGTTTGTATTTCTAAATGATCCACCAGATTTTAATGTCCATGGAGATAGTGCAAATGTCTTTTAAAACTTAATGCCTAATGCCTGTTACAAAGAAAGTATGTAATACACAGCTAGGTGAATAGAAAGAAAAAAATTACATTTGTTTTCTAACACCCTACTTGTAGACAATTTTAATTTGTCAATATTTTTCTTAAATTAAGAAAACCAGATGCTGAGAACTTGAAAGATCTAGTAAATCTTCTATTCTTAAAAATAAATTTTTCCAAAAAAACATGCTTGGTATTTAGAAATACGTGAATCTTTACTGACTAACTGGATCCAAAAACACTTACTTCACTGTGGCACTTAGAAGAAAGTTCAGCTGTGGCATTAACAGGTTGTCTGGGGCTGATAAATAACGATCAAACTGAACCTAATTGAAACAGAAATGTAAAACATAAAGCACATATATCTACAAACATACATCTTAAATACACCCATCACTTTTAAGGGTTAATGTGTGGGAAAAATTCCATATTCCAAATAATGAGTTCTTTGTATTCAAAATGAGTTATTTCTTAAATATTCTACCTAAAACTCTCAATTTTGTTTCTGCATTAGATTAGGGAATTTCTAAAAATGAAGAAAACCTCAATAGGAATTATGAGACTATTAGAGTAGGGTAGGCTATTATTACAAATTTATATCTTGGTCAGACCCCATTAGTTAAAAGAATCATTGTGCTATAATTATTGGGCCCAATGTGAATGCAGTATACCAAGAAATAAAAATTACCACTTAGCACAAATTACCACATTGGAAAAAATTAAGAACAGTGTTCAATAAGGAAGCCTGAATTGCTATGCTTTATGATGCACTTACCATTGCTGCTTTCAGTGCCACAGAATCTAGGTTGGGCAAATTAGCTAAAGAACCCTAAAAAAAAAAAGGATACATATTTCAGTTCATTTATGGAATTCAGTTTGTTAATGGATTACCCAAGTTTGGAAATTCAGCTTATTTTCAAAGAACTCAAGTTTCATCTCCACAATGTCAATTTATATAAACAGCATAAAACCACTCAATAACAATTATTGGAGAGAGTACTAACAATGGAAATCTCAGTATACCTCAGATTTATTCATAAGCAAGAAAAAAAGGTAATGAAGCTCTCAGAAGATGACAGTTAGACATGGAGGCTTTCAGAGTTGCATTTTGATAATTGTAGATAATATTCAAAGGCAGCAGAATTGGTTCCTCCTCATAGAAATTTGCTTACTGCTTTAGCAAAAGAGTTTCTGTGCCAAAAATATTGTTTATGTTAATATCACTTAAAAGGATTCTTTGCCTTTTAAAGAAAGATGTTTACAGGGTTTTCTAGGGTTCCCACCACTCCATTATCTATCTGTTGGCCCAGAAGTATTTACCTTTTCAAAGTAATAGATAATGATTGCTAAATTAAGAAAGGGATGCCCGCTATTGATGTAGTAATCTATGCATCAATTAACTGATAATGATAAAGGACTCTGAAAAATTTATCAAATATAAATATACTTTATACACTCTATAACACAATTTTTTCACTAATACATTTCATCAATACAAATATTTTCATTACTTTTAGCCAAAACTGCAGTTTAAAAAGTGTTACTATTTTGGGGCACTCTATTGTATCTTAGGAAACCATCTAACCATGTGAGATCTGCACATACATCATATGTATACACATGTAATTTCAGAGAAATCCTATGACACAGATATTTTTATTATTCCCAGTCCACAGATGAGGAAATAGATAGGTCACTTTCCCAGTGAAACCTGCTGCTATAAAATATTATTAAGCACTGCTATGGAATACTAAAGTCAATATTCAAATCTAGAGTTTAGCTCTAGAACCCATATTCTAAACTGATGTATGTATTTCTCTAGTTAGCAACAATGACATACTCACCTGTTCAGGTTTATGTTGCTGTACAGTGTTATATATATAACTTAGGCCTGATCTAGTTAAAACATAAGAAGCTTGCTCATTTATAAGTGTGTCCAAATGTGCTTCAATCTAAAATAAAACACAATAGAAAGAAAATATTTTAAAAGAGAAAGAAGACTATAGTAGAAATAAAACACTCTTAGTTATTCATCATGAACTTGTCTCTTGTAGTGACCATGAGGCCAGATCACAAGGGAAAAGGGCTTGTTCTATAGCAAAGGCTTTTCCTCCCTTCCAAGAGGAAGTTCTCCTACAAAAGTGAAGGAAAGTATTAAAGAAAAAGAAAAAAAAAGAGATACAAAAGAGGATTCTAGGCCTGCCACTAGTCAAAAAATTTGAGTTTCTCAGCTCTTTTAATAAGCATAACATAACACAAAATAGTAAACATCAACAGTGTACAATCAAATACTCAAAGAATTCTGGGAAGATGAGAGTCAGGCCTGTCTGATCTCCTGACCACCTAACTTTTCCAACTTGCTGGACTACTCAACCAAGTGTGTTATCTGCAGATGCCTGGAGAAAATCCCACTAGGGTTGAGGCAATGAGTTCTGCTGAGGAGAAAAAAGGTCTCACCTGCTTTATGCAATTTGGAAAGCTACCTAATGCTAACGGGGGCAGTAGCCACAGAAGGGGACTTCCCTGGGATGAAGCATTCCCTACTGGGATGATCTGCTCCTTCCTTACTTTTACCAGTACAGGCCTGAAAGTCTAGAGAGCTTCCTTCTATTCCTCACCAACAAGTTCCCTCAGTTTTATCTCTTTGCCAACAAAACAGTATTCCAGTATCTGTTATTATTGGAAAGCTTGCCATTGGTTCAAGTAACTCCCAATAGCTGAGGCCCTCTTCTCCCTAAAAAGCTTACAAGTACTGTAAAAGAGTTGAGTAGATTCTAAGAGGAAATTCATGAGTTTTTAAAAAAAGATTTATTGATTTATTATTTATGCATGGAAAAAGTGGGGTGTAGGCCAGAGGTGCAGGTGGGGGAGCGAGAGGATTCACTAGAGACAGAGTGGAGAGCAGAACAGGCGGATCTACTGAAATACACTGCAGAGGGGAGCAGCTGGCGAGACAGGAAAGGTCTGCTGCACCATATGTGGGTTAGCTCTTTGGCTAGGGATCAAACTCAGGCCACCCACAGAGGCAATAGCACTGAGACTTAACACTAGGCCACCTGGGAGGCCCAGGGAAATCTATTTGAATAATCAGAATAAGTACATTTTCCTGATGCAACACCACTCAAAGACACATAGATAGCACTTTGATTTTTTTTAAACGAATGTCCAAGAAAACCCATAATTTACTAGATATACTGGAAGTCAAAGAAAAACAAGCTGCGCAGATGTAAACATTTAATAAACCAAATTGGGTCTGAAAGATAATGGAAGAAAAGTAATACTTAGTAAACATCAAAGAAATAAAGTGGAGAGATTTTTTTGAAACAGTAGAAGACAGATTCAGGAGCAACGATGGACAGTTGCTTCAGAATATGAAATTTAACAGATGGAGATGAGGTAATTATAGGTAATAGAAAACTTTATTGAGCAAAAGAAAGTTTGAATCTTCAGACTGAAATGGTGTTAAGAAATTCATGCAAGAAATAATGCAAAGAGAAACATACTAAAAATTATCCTTAAGAAATACCTGAACTCCATGAAAAACCCTTATAAGCTTCCAGAAACAGAATAGGTTGCCATGAACAAAAGAGAACCAAAGTAGTCTGCAATTCCAACTTGAAACACTGACTGAAGCTAAATCAGAGTGGAAGAAAAGAAACAGTCTTTTGATAGGAAAGGTCTGAAAATCAAAGAATCATTTATTCCACAAAAGAAATTGTTACTTGGGAGGGGTCGCATTAAGCCACACCTCCCAGTGTCCACATCCTGCAGTCCTCTCACACTGACCCTGGCTGGTCCATGCACTCAGCCCTGACAGCATCATGTCAGCGAGCGTGATGCAAGCACAGCCATAAGAAGCACAGTGGGACTTGAAAAATGGCAATAGAATAGCTTGATGAACACGTGATATATCTAAACTTAAGATTTAGCTAAATGGCAGAGTTGAATTAGTGATAAATACAGTAAAAAATCAATGAATTTTTAAAATAATTTTATTAATTCTACATCAAACCAAAGCCAAACAATAAAGAAAAATTAAGTATACTTTGTTAATTCTTTTATAATGGATTAGAATTATAAAATTTCACAAATTTAGATGTATCAAAACTCAATCAGAAGTCAAATATCTATAAATTGTATAAATAGTTTTGTTTTAGTCATTTTACGGACTCATTACTGATATAATTTGGTTTCCTGGACTAGAGTGCTTGATATACCAAATTGTAATGTTTTGCCTAACGCTGGCTTACACATAGACAAAAATATATCTGTCCTCTGTAACACCTTCTGTACTAGCTACACAGCTTGAAAAATATAGCACATTATTCACTGTTCAGAAACTGAAATTTGCATACAAAATAACCGTTCAAATTAATCAGAAAAGCTTCATTCTGCCATCACACACTACAGTTTGAATCAAATATCTCACCCAATATATATTCTGCCTTCAAGAAAAAACTGAAATACAGAGAGAGAGAGAGAGAGAGAGAGAGAGACCCCATGAGAATATAGAAAGGAATTTATTTGTAGGAATTAAGTCAATGAAATTAGGCTACAGTCAGCTACTGATGTATATCAAATATAGAAAAAGATTCCATCACACAGTACAATCATTTTATGGCAAAAATTACCTGAAACTGTAGCATTTCCAGACGTTTATCAGTGAATTCAAACAAAGCTAATGTTGTCTTCATCATATATAATGAATTGACCATGAAAGTGGCCATGTCAGCTGTGCCTAAATTGCTGGCTGATACAGTACACATCTGGAGGAGAGGATCTAAGACACATGATAAAACCTATAAATGAAAAACTAAGTTACTCTTTATTTCCCAACCAGAGACTCAGGCCTGGGTTAATGGCACTCCAGAATGAATGCCACACTAACTGGAAGCAGGTCAACTTAGAGAAGCATATCAAAAAGAATATATGGTATAATTTGTTTTTTTTTTAAGATTTATTTATTTATTTATTTATTTATTTATTTATTTATTTATTTATTTATTTATTTATACAAGAACCGGGGTATAGGCCAGATGCACGGGAGGGTGAGAGGATTCACCAGAGACAGAGCGGGGAACAGAACAGGGAGACTGATGAAATACACTGCTGAGGGGAGCAGCGGGCGTGACAGGAGAGGTTTGCCGCACTATGTGGGACCCTCACCTGCCAGCCGGGATCGAACCGGTGCTGCAGAGGCTGCGGACAGCTTCACAGCGCTGCACTCAACTGCCAGCACCACCAGGGGAGGCCCAATCATGTAGTTTTTTAAAATGAGCATTAATGAATAAATACTTTTTACATTAAAGTGAATTGGTTTAATGTTTGATGGGAAAATCAGTAAGAGGGTATGCCAAAATATATGGTTTGGAAAATGTCAGATTTATAACAGAATGTGTAACCAAGAAGCAATAAATAATCATTAAAAATGAATTTACAACATACCTGCACAAAATCAGCTTGACGAGCATCTAATGGTACAACTGAAGAATCATGAGATGCCAAAACTTCACGCAACAATGTGAGTGTCTGATTTAATGCAGAACTTGGTCCAAGATCAGGTGGTGGGAGTTCAACCTACAAAAAATGGATGGGTTATCTACTGTTCACATATCATTGCTAAACTGTAATGTATAAATGCCAGTTCACAATAAAATGATGCATATAGAATAAGTAAAACAATGGCTGACACATTACAAAATCTATAACTTATCAATATTTTGTATTATACTAACCAACACAGAAAGTGACACAGGAGTTTTTTTGTTAGTTTATCTCAATTAATATATCACAACTAGAATTGTAGAATCTGTACTTACAAAATTCAAAAAAATTTTGAAGAAACTTAGTGATCTTTGAATTGTTGTATTTTCATACGGATTTAAAATGGCCTACCAATTTATTTTTTTAGCATAAGTTCTAAGAACAAAACAATTCAGAGGCTAGCAGTTTACCAATTATATATGAGAATCATCACCCACTCTCAGGCCCACATATCAGGCTCAGGGTCTAGGGATCTTTCAAAAACCATTGCAGAAGATTCTCAGGAGCCTGAACAATAGGTCACATACTTCACAGAAACAAAACTACATTGCCACAAAAATTCTGGACTCTGGAGTAAAATTGATTAAGTTTACATTTTAGATTTACAACTTTAAGAGTTGTGTGACTTTGGAAAAATTATTCACTTGGAGCTTCAGAGGGACCATGCAAGTATTAAATGAATTACTGCATCTAAACTACTAAGTAGAATGCCTGGAACTCATTAATGAGAAGTTATGTCAAGTTCATTATCCCTACTTGACAGCATCATGTTATCCAAGAAGACAGGTGTCTGTTAATTTACTTTCAAGACTATTTTTATGAGTATTTATAATGCTGATATGTCAGATTTTGTTAATGCAACTAAATCTGGTACTTGAATGTCCATGTAAGAGATTATATATATAGCCTTGTGTCAAGTAAAAAGAAAGCAGTCCGAATTTATAAATGTAAGGATTTATATTTAAAGCATTTTATGAATAAAAGTTAATGCATAAGTGATATAGCATGAATAGCAGAATATATATCTTGGAAAATCTCCCTCCATAAAAACAACTAGGAAAAAGTCAGGAGAAACTTTATGTGGAAATTATGTGGAAAAACAAACAAAAAATAAGCTCCATCTAGAGGGGGGGAAAAAAAGTCAACAGAAACTTTCCCTCAAAAACCCAGAGTGGGAATTACTAGCCAAAAACTAAAAACCAAGTTATTTTAAATATATTCAAAGAACTAAAGGAAACCATGTTAATGAAGTAAAATATAACATCTCACTAACCAGAAAATATCTATAAAGAGACAGAAATGATTAAAAAAAATTGAAATGAAAAATTAACTAGGGAATCAAGAGAAGATCTGAAGAGACAGAATAATCAGTAAGTTTAAATGCAGGTCAATTAAAAGCACTCTGTCTGAGGAATAGGAAAAAGTAAAAAGAATGAGTGACAATGAACAGAGCCTCAGAGACCTGGGGGACACCATCAGCATCATAAAGACAATGAGGCTCTCAAAAGGGATAGGTGAGCAGAAATAATATCTAAAACAATAGTGGTAGAAGACTCACCAAACTTGACTAAATATAAACAATCTAAACATCCAGGAAGCTCATGAACTCTAAGCAGAATAAACTTAAATAGATCCACACTGAAAAACAACATACTCAAACACTCAAAAGAGAATCTAAAAAACAATGAAAGAAAAATAACTTATTATGAACAAGGAATTTTCAGTAAGTAAGATTAACAGCTGATTTCTTATCAGAATACATGGAGGTCAAAAGACATGGGATGACATATTCAAAGACTGAATGAAGTAGACCAAGAATTCTATATTAAATCAAACTACTTTTCAATAATGAAGGAGAAAGTAAGACATTCCCAATAAATAAAAATTCTTCACTACCAAACCTGTTCTACAAGAAATACTAAAGGATATCCTTCAGGCTAAAATGAAGGGACACTAGATGGTAGCTCAAATTCACAGAAGTAAATATACAATATTAGAGTACTTCTGTTTGTAGCTCTTTTTCTTTTCTTATCTAATAGATACCTGCACAAAGCAATAATTATAAAAGACACACAAAATGTAGAAAGATGTAATTTGCAACAATAATAACATTAAGGAAAACAGGGGTATAAAGGAATAAAACTTTTGTACACTGTTGAAAGTTGGTATAATCTGAATTATATTGTTTTAAATTAACGATTTTAACTGCAATTCTCAGATAACCACTAAGAAAACAACTCTTTCTCTCTCTATGTTTGTGTGAACATATAAATATAGATACATATATTTATATATTGTGTATATAGACACACACACAATGGAAATAATGAGGCATCGAAGGAAAAAACACTTAAGACACAGAAGAACAAATTACAAAATGGCAGACAACAATCATACTCTGTTAGTAATTAAATTACCTACGGGCCTCCCGTGGTGGTGCAATGGTTGAGCACTGGGCTGCGAAGCTGCCTGCAGCCTCTGCAGCGCTAGTTCCATCCCAGGCCACTGGCGAGGGTCCCACATGGTGAGACAGACCTCTCCTGCAGCCCGCTGCTCCCCTCAGCAGTGTATTTCATCAGTCTGCCTGTTCTGTTCCCCGCTCTGGCTTTGGTGAATTCTCTCACCCTCCCATGCTTCTGACTGTACCCAGTGCTTGTATGAATAAATAAATAAATCTTAAATTAAAAAAAATAAATTACCTACAAATACATTAAGGATTCCTCTCAAAAAGCAAAGACTAGGGCCTCCTCGGTGGCGCAGCAGTTGGGCACTGGGCTGCGAGGCTGCCTGCAGCCTCTGCAGCGCTAGTTCCATCCCAGGCAGCTGGTGAGGGTCCCACATGGCGCACAGACCTCTCCTGCAGCACCCACTGCTCCCCTCAGCAGTGTACTTCGGTCTGTTTGCCTGTTCTGCTCCCCGCTCTGGCTGGGGTGAGTCTCACTCTCCCCCGCTTCTGACTGTACCCAGTGCTTGTATAAATAAATAAATCTTAAAAAAACCCAAAAAACTAGCAGATGGATTAAAAAACATGATCAAACTATATGCTGCCCTTAAAAAACACATTTAAAGACATAAACAGGTTGAAAATAAAAAGTTGGAAAAATATACACCTTGTAAACAATGATTAAAACTAGAATGGTTACACTAAAATCAGACAAAACAGACTTTGCAATCAAAACTCTTACTAGAAACATAAAAAAATACATTTTATAATGTTGGTCATCAAGAAGACATAACAACGAAAATCATGCATCTAACAACAAAGTCCAGAAGTACTTTCAGACAAAATTGATACATTTGAAGGGAAAAAAAAAATCTCACAGCAATGGAATATTTCAAGTTTCATAGCTTCTTCAATTTTGTTTCCTCCTTTCTATTAAATTCAAATAAATCTGAATTAACAAAAATGCTAGGCTGTGATGTAATTTAAAGTATTTTGTATTCATTTATCTAATTTAAGAAGGTATCTAGAATGTTGCTCAATAATTTTATTTTTAAGTTGAAGGGTTTTAAAAGCACTCTATTTTGTGCTTTTCTGTATGGTTTGAATTCTTTATAAGTATATGTATGTCATATACTTAAAAAATACTTCAAAAATAAGTGATTCTTGTTCTCTAAGCTGAATGAAACCTGTTAATAATAATTAATTTAGGGTCACAAGATATAAATGATTATTTTCTCCTATGTATTTTCATATATTAAAAAAACTTATTTAATAAGTTTTCATAATTTTAGAAATTTAGTTAAAATATACAGGTATTGCATATACATACATGCATTTCAGTAATATAACTGAACAGAAGCTAGTCATATAAAAGTTAATAGAATCTTTGTTAGCAATCTGATAGCTTTAATATAGAAACAGGCAGTCACACAAGCCAGAGCAACTATGCGTATATGTCTGTTTTCCAATACCTTTCGTAAATAGAAAAAATTAGAAGCAAGAATTACATAAACCTACCAGGGAAGCTGTGTGAAGTAGACACAATGCATGAATAGGATCTTAAATGTTCAGTGTGCAATTTTATTTCCTTTTTTTAATGTGTAATTTTCTCTTCCAAGTTATAAATTACAGCAGTGTTTTACAGAAACAAAAATGTTTAAGGAACATCTTTAAAAATTCACATAAGAATTTCTCAATTGCCATTCAAAACAAAAGGCCAATGATAGAAATTTTATGCACCAGTAACAGAGTTTAGAGGAATCTCATTATCCCCTTGAATTAAGATTCTAAAAAGCTTGCATATTTAAAACAAAAGTCATTACTTGTTATTGTCAGAGTCAGTAGCAAATGGTACAAGTGAGAACTCACTTCATTTAACAACTGCCATTCTATAAGGCATCTTTACACACATCCATCACATCAACAACAGATCAGAATCACACTTGTAAAGTCAAGTGAGAAACAAGATTTATGACTTTACAGTTTTGAAGAAATAATGGAAAGAAAATCTAAAGAAGAGAAATACCTGATTAAAATCCTTCTATCACTTCAATTTAATTATACCTAAATAAGTGAAATTCCTTTCTAATGGTTAAACTTTTTACAGGTCTGTCTTTTTTCTCAAGTCCCTTCATCACATTCCTGTGCTTACTTCGTACTGAATTTTTGTCTTCTATATCTACATATTGGATTGTGGAGTCCAAACACTAAAATTAAGTAGGTTTTATAATTTAGACAACCTGTCAAAAGCAATAGCAATTGTTAAGAAACAAACCTTATGAATTTTATATAGAATCACAATATAGAAATTCTTGTAAGTTTTAAGATGTGCAGCAGATAATTTATTCACTTTCTATATCCTTGAAATCTAGTCAGCAGTAGCAACAGAGTGGCAGATGCACCCTCAGAGTGATATGAGAGGGAGAAAAAGGTGTTAATAATATCACTGTTACTTGGGCTAGGACTTGAGGTAATAACAGAAATCTTACACACTAGTAAAAAAAAGTTCAAGAAAATCTTAACTTTTTCCCTATAAATAAAGGTCTATCTCTTTCTTAATCTGTTCTATTTCCTCTACTTATTATGAGGA